ATTCCCACAGCTCTGAAGCCTGGGAGTCCACCATCAAAGCACCAGCAGATTCAGTGTCTGGTAAGGGCCAGCATCTCTTTGTTCTCCATGTCTTCCACATGGGGAAGGAGCCTCTTTTATAAGGGGCCCATCCATGAGGTCTCCACCCTTGTGACCTAGTGCCTCTCGAGGGCTCCGCTCACAGCTGCTATCACATGGGGAATTAAGATTTCACATCTGAATCCGGGGGAAACACATTCAGTTGGTAGCACGAAACATCAGTCATATGCATGTAAAATTTGTGGCCAGTCGGGGAGGACGTCTTGTGAGGCCAAGTTCAGTTTGGCAAAGAGCAGGAAGCTCTTCTCATCCCCTTTTAGACCCCACTCAGAAATCAATGTCCTTCTAAAGCCATAAAGGAGAAGACTGATCTATTTGGCTACATGGTGCTTTAAATTTTATTTATTTATTTATTTATTTATTTATTTATTTATTTATTTATTTATTATATTAAGTTAGCCACCATACAGTACATCATTAGTTTTTGATGTAGCGTTCAATGATTGATTAGTTGTGTATAACACCCGGGGCTCATCACCACATGTACCCCATCCCCCCACCCCCAGGCCCCTCTGAAACCCTCAGATTTTTTCCTGGAGTCCATAGTCTCTCATGGTTCATCTTCCCCTCTGACTACCCCCCCAATTCAGTTTTCCTTTCCTTCCCCTAATGTCCTCCGTGCTATTCCTTATGTTCCACATATGAGTGAAATATGTGATAATTGACCTTCTCTGCTTGACTTATTTCACTTAGCATAATCTCTTCCAGTTCCATCCATGCAGATGCAAATGGTGGGTATTCATCCTTTATGATGGCTGAGGAATATTCCATTGTATATATGAACCACAGCATCTTTATCCATTCATCTGTTGAAGGGCATCTCAGCTTCTTCCACAGTTTGGCTATTGTAGACATTGCTGCTATGAAAATTGGGGTGCATGTGGCCCTTCTTTTCACTACATCTGTATCTTTGGAGTAAATACCCAGTAGTGCAATTGCTGGGTTATAGGGTAGTCCTATCTTTAATGTCTTGAGGAACCGCCATACTGTTTTCCAGAGTGGTTGTACCAGCTTGCATTCCCACCAACAGTGTAGGAGGGTTCCTCATTCTCTGCATCCTTGCCAACATTTGTTGTTTCCTGCCTTGTTAATTTTAGCCATTCTAACTGCACCAAAGACCATAAGATACCTAGGAATAAACCTAACCAAAGAGGTAAAAGATCTATACTCTAGAAACTACGGAACACTTATGAAAGAAGTTGAGGAAGACACAAAAAGATGGAAAAACAGTCCATGCTCATGGATTGGAAGAATAAACGTTGTTAAAATGTCTGTGCTGCCCAGAGAATCTATACTTTCAATGTCATCCCTATTAAAATACCATTGGCATTTTTTAAAGAGCTGGAGCAAACAATCCTAAAATTTGTATGGAACCAGAAAAGATCCCAAATTGCCAAGGGAATGTTGAAAAACAAAGCTGGGGGCATCATGTTGCCTGACTTCAAGCTATATTACAAAGCTGTGATCACCAAGACAGCATAGTATTGGCACAAAAACAGACACATAGATCCATGGAACAGAATAGAGTCTCCAGAAATGGACCCTCAACTCTACGGTCAACTAATATTTGACAAATCAGGAAAAAATATCCAATGGAAAAAAGACAGTCTCTTTAATAAATGGTGCTGGGAAAATTGGACAGCCATATGCAAAAGAATGAAACGACCATTCTCTTACACCATAAACAAAGATAAACTCAAAATGGATGAAAGACCTCAATATGTGAGACAGGAATCCATCAAAATCCTAGAGGCGAACATAGGCAGTAACCTCTTTGACATCAGCCACAGTAACTTCTTTCAAGATGCTTTGAATTTCCACATGGAAAAAAAATACCAACACATGACACATTGGGAAAATATTTGTAACACATGAGTGACAGAGTTAATAACCTCATATATAAAGAGCTCTTACAAATAAATAAAAAGGACCACCAACTCATTAGAAAAATGGGCAAAAAAAATACCAGGAAGTTCATAGGAAAATCCATGGCTCATAAATATTTTCATATGCTCAGCTCATTTCAGTTATAATGAAAGACATGGAAATTAAAAGTACAATTACAAACGTTTTTTAAAAATTTTACTTAGACTAATAAAGATTAAAAATTAATGGTTAACACTATTGATGGGAGTGTTGGAGGACAATTTGCCAACAGGTATTAAAATTTAAAAGTGTACAGCCCATTAATCTAGGAATTTCACTTTGAGCATTTTACCTGAACAATCTATTTGTACATGTGTATAAAGAAATGTGAGTAAGAATACTCTTGGCAGTATTGTTTGTTGTAGCAGAAGGCTGGAAATCACCTGAATAATCTCAGCAGGGAAGTGCTTATGTAAATTACAATATAATCATACAAAAGAGCAGTATGAAACCTACCTCTAAAAAGTTAGATAACAATGCATGTGTTGAAAAGGTGCAATCCTTGAGGTGGACAGTTAGGTGAATAAATAAAGGTTTTGGACAGTTTTCATACCTATTAAAATTAAAGAATTGATATACATACCTATTCAGAAGATACAGTGAATCATAATCACTTCTGGGAAGGAGGACCAAGGGACTGGAATCTTGGAGGGAAAGAAACAGCCTCTTTACAGATTGCTCTTTCAGACTGTTTAAGTTTGACTATGCCCTTATTACACCTCCTTTTAGTCATTGGCATTTCCTTCCCTCCTGGTGCTTAGGGCCCCAATCAGCCTTCCATCCAACTTCTAACCGCATCAAACTTTACTCTCAGCAGCCATGACTTAGAAATACTGTTGAAAAATCTATTTCATACTAAAGTGTTGATGACTTCCACAAAGATGCCATGCTGTAACAGGAATAACGGCAGGATTTCAGGCACTGGGATCTTGCCAGAGAGAACTGTCAAGGGGTAGAAGGAAGCCGTCTACAGTTCTCAAATCTCACTACCTGCCTTGTTCCTCTACGAGCAGGACAGCCAGGCAGGTGTTGAGAGCTTCAAGAGACCCATCTTTCAGCACTGTTGGGGTCGGAAAAAGACAGCCTGCTCCAGAGAAGGGAGGGACCCCCTGGTTGTCTAGAACGGAGCTATTTGAGTAGCTTTCTCAAGGGTTGCCTCCTGGCACGTGGCTTAGCTGCACACACTGGGCACCTGACCCAAGCCCCAGCCCCTCCCTTCCCGTGAGGAATGCCTCACCACCAGGAGCCCCTCGCTGGCCCACCTCAACCCTGACTGTCAGTGCAGCTGTTCTCAGGGGGGGTGGAACAGGACATGAGGGGGACCTGTCATCTCCCTGGGCCACAGTTCTCAGCTTTCCTGAGCATCCAAACCCTCAGGAGGGCTTCCTGAGACAGCACACTGGTCTCCACCCACAGTTTCTGATTCTGCAGCTCTGGGGCTGAGCCCGAGAATGTGCATTCCAGTGAGCTCCCAGGCAAGGCTGATGTTGCTGGTCCAGGGCACCCCACTTTGAGAACTGCTGCTCTGGTGGGTGAATGCGGTTTCTGTTCTAGGACAAAGGTCACCAGGAGCCCTGGCTAGCACCCCAGGGGGATCAAAAGTATGGTTTCTATTTCAGCCACAGGATCCTGGCCAAATCCTACCTCAAAAATAACCGCTCCCAGGATCATGGCCCGGAGAACTGGTGCCATGAAACTCAGTCCCACTGGGCAAGGGCTACCTGCATGCTCAGCCCTGGGAGGACGAGCCCAGGCAGGTGAGTGGAGTGTCTGAGGAGTCCGGGGCCAAATGCCCGCTGTCCCATGACCAGCCAGCTGGGTTAGCCTAGGCAGCCTGCCGTGGCCCCAAGCTTCAGCGTCCTTGCGAGTGGAACAGAGGCAGTAGTGGCCCTGCGGGGGGCACTTGCTTTAGTAAGTCCTTTCGTAAGGATGAAACAAGACCACACCTGGCGCCCAGCCCGGGCCAAGTACTCAGAGTAGCTGCAGTGAAGAATCCTATTCAAGGGACCCTTGACCCAGTTCTGCCCCTCGCAACTTACCGTCACTCGAAGAGACAGGACTTGTGGGTGGATTAGTTACAGGACAGTTGTGCGTGTCTGTGTGGTTTCCCAGAGTCCGGTGCCTTCCTTGCTCATGGCTGTGGCATTCATCAGCCCCCACCACAAGGCTGATGAGGAGGTGGAGCAGAATCTGCCCACAGCCCCCTCCCCAAAAGAAGTGATTCAGTTCCTGCCCACGTCTGTCCTTCCTCAGAAGCCCAGACAGGAGAGCCTGAGGCCACATCCCAGGCTTGAGTTCTACTTGTGGCTTGCAGTGACTGGAAGGGGAGCTGGCCCAGAGCTGCTGCAGGAGCATTTCAGAGGTGCCTCGGGTTAAAGCCCCGCCTCTTCATTCCCAGCCGCCCCAGCACAGACTTGCTGTTAAGATAGTAAAGACAGGGAGGTCTTTGGCTGCATGGCTCTGAAAATCTCTTAAGCAAAGGAGCTGCAAGTGGTATTTCATTTGAGCCCAAGCACTAAGAAAGACCTGGCAGAAGCTCAGATCTGCAAGTGTCCCAAGGGCTAGCTGACCTTTGCAGCCGGGCGGTCCGCCTGGTGCCCGAGTTACGGTCGGCTCTTACCTGAGGCCGCCTCTGGAAAGCAATTTACTAAATGTAATCTTGTAGGCCCATCACCAAGGTATTTTTAACCACTCTCTCTGGTGGCCGCAGCTCTGAGGCTGTGAGCAGGGACTTCAGGGCCAGGGCCAGAGAACATTCTTGTATCATGGGTGCCTGCTCTGGGCTGGGCCAGTTCCCATGACTAATTTAGAACTTGCATGGTTTCCTTCGTGACCCTTCCCCCAGAGGACACAGCTCTTCCTGAGCAGTCGCAGGACAGAATGTGGCCCTGCAGTGGCTAATATTTGCAGCATGTGATCTTGTCCGGCTCACGGCAGCAGAGGGACACCGTTGACCCCGCTTGGAATGGGCAGCTTTACCGACAAACGGAGCCGTTCACACGCAGATGGACGTGAAGAGTAGAGCTTCTAGGCTGGAACAGACAGACACACGCTCTGGCCGTGGGGTTCCGGATCCTCAGCTCCCCTGGGCTTGCGGCCTTCACCATGTTCACACTTCCTCTTATACTCTGCGAGGTCACGTACACGGATTCACTTTCTCGGCCTACGCATTCACTGCAGCTGCATCCTAACAATACCATATGTTACGTCATGAGCTTGACAGACCACTCATTCTTTTTCTGGTATGCCTCAGAGGAAATTCTATTAAAGTTTGCAGAAGAAAGGAGGAGGTAAAGAAATTCTTCTGTGTACCTTTGGTAAGTTGCAATGAAACTAGCCGAGAGGACATCAGACTTGAGGTGTGTCGGGCCAGGGCTAGTCGCGGCCAGCAAGGAACTGTGTACTGCCAGGCCAATGCACGTGTCATGCCTTCTGCCATGTTCTCCGTTCTCTCCCTCCCTTTCTCGACCCCCCGACACACACATACCCTTTGTCCTCCTAGATGACTGGCTTGACCTCCGGGGAGATCTTTCCCAGGCCCTAGCCACCGAGCCTCCAAGAACAAGCACGTACCCCCCACCCCATAGCCCTGACATGGCTCCACCGCTGTGGCCACCTGCGTGCTGTCCTCCATCAGCTCCTGGAAAAGACCCTTTTTTGTAAAGGGGTATTAGGAGTGTGAGCTCTGGACCCTCTTCCCAGCTGTGACCTTGGACAGGTCACTTGTGCGCTTTCCCCAAGCTCCATTGTCCTCTTCTACAGAATGGGGTGATGACAGGCCATGAGAATCAGATACAGTGGCAAGAGACCTAACATGGCCTGGAGCTCCATAAATGCTCAATAAATACTCGGTGTGCGCATGAATGAATGCAGTCGGTATACAAGACTGCGCTTACACAATAATGCACGGCTTGTTTAAGAGCCACTGAAAATCTTACTAAAAATACAAGTCGTCAGACGCCAGCCCGACTTCCCACGTCAGGCCTGCACCTGTACTCATGCAAGTTCTCCACGTGATTGTTCGGGAACTTCCACAGGGACAGTGCTCGGCCGCTAATGACCCCCAAGAACCCACAGACGGCTGCACAAATACAAAGTCGCATCAGCCAGTACCCTTACAAGCTTATGCACCGTGCAAACGCAGAGCCGCTTCTCTCTGAAACCAGGGCAATAGGAGGGGTCAGTTAGCATTCAGAGACCATTCCACGGGAATGTGGTTAGGCTGTTGCTGCTGCTGGTGGCTTTGCTGATGATAGCGATGGGAGGAGGAGGGAAATGCTGATGATTTCTCAGAAAACCTGTGAGAGAGGCATTACTGTTCTCCTCACTTCACAGATGAAGCAATAGAGGCTCGAGGTGGAGGCCCACATGCAGGAGGAATATGGTGGAGACGTAAGTCCTGGCTCCCTCCCAAAGCAAAGCTGGTGTTCTGAACACCTACGTGCATCTTCACACGCTGTGTTCTCGTGGTCTGTGGGACCCTGGAGCTGGAGACAGTACTCTAGGTTAGGGCCACATTCAAGTCTTCGTAATCCCACTGTCTAAATCAGAATCTCGACTTTAATTTCTGACTAAGGAGCGCAACAGCAGAAATCCATCTGGGGTGGTAAAGGGGCTTTAATATCAACGTGCCCTCCTCCACCCACCAACCTTCCACAAAGACAGATCATGGCCATGGGGCCAGTTCTGGCTGACAGAATCCAAGAGCCACTGTGCCTCCTTCTCTTTTCTCCCACCGTGAACTTGGGGGTCCACTTTGTGCAGTGACCAGCCTTTACCTTCATGAGAAATAGGCCTTTACTAGTTAAGAGAATTTGCGGATGTATCTGTTAAAGCTACCCACATTAACTTCCCTGACTAATACAGAGATTAATTTCAGGGTTAATTTCTCCAACTTCTGCTATCCATTGCAAAGCTCAGAGCTTTATGGTGGCATTTTAATAATTATGGGTATTGAATTATAATACTGTTTATTATTATTATCACTATTATTATCATTATTATTATTATTATTTCCAGCCTGTTTGGCTCTGGAGGAAGAACTCAGTCTTGTTCCATATTAAAAACTGACTTTTGGAAAGAGGCAGGTCTTACACTCAACGTCACCAAGGCTACTGAAGCTAAGAAAAGCAGACAGCTCCTGTTGGGGTCTTGATTTACAAATCACATGATAGATTAAGTCAATATGCTTCTAAAATACGGGATAAAAGCTTCAAAAATCAAATCCAGAAAGTGGAAAAACAAAGACCATGGTCACCAGCCGGCTCCGGATAAACACCCAGCAAAAGCTCAGAGCAAGGGTAGTGTAAGTAGCCCTCTCCCCGGGGCCCCTTCCCACTCTGTCCGCCTTTCTCACAAAGAACCTTCATGCCCCATAAAGCTGCTCAAAGAATGCAGCAGAATCATATCAACTGCTGGAAATTACAAACAGAATTTCATGAATATGATACTCCTTTCATCTAAAGAACCTGAAGAAGTTTTTACAAATAATTTAATTCAATTAATCCTCAAGTATTAAATTTCAGATGCTGGAATCTATAACTGGATCTCTTTAAGGAGGAGAAATCTATTACGTGCATACATATAGAGAGTCAAACCTTCATGGTCATCAAGAACCTTCTCAAAAGGGGGAGCTTGGGTGGAAGCTGGGGTTTCCACCTCCCCAGCCCGTGTGGCTCCAGACTTCACCACTGACTCAGAGATACTCCCCTGCGGCCCCTGCCCAGCCGGCCCCCTCACCAGGGTGGTCTCTGAGGATGCGCAAAGCAGGGACAGCTGCTCCCGGGAAGGGTTCTCTGGGAAAGCTTGGCTCCCAGTTAAAACTTCTAAAGAAAATCATCTCATGAAAGGGAATGTTTTCACTCAGGCTGGCTTCTAGAAACCAGAATCAAGCACACAGGGAAATGCACTGTGGTGCGGGTAACTGTGCCCAAGGGGGTGGCTTCACAAGCACTGTCATGAGGACCCAGCCTCCGCCCCCCCTCATCTCAGCAGCCCTCCACGCTGCCCTCACCCCGTGCCCCTGCCCACACAGCTCCACGCCTTCCCCTCATGGTCCCTGCAAAGTGGCTTTATCTGCCCCTGCACCTAACACCTTCCCAGCTTCCCATCCCAAAGTGAGTAGAACTCCAGGGCCTGACCCTCACTGGCTCTGCTTGGGTGATAGACTCCTTTCTGAGCCAATCACGGTGGCCGAGGGGAGGGGCTAAGAGTTTTGGCCCTTCAGGATCCTGCACCCTGGTGCCCACAGGGGCTTCCACAGGGGCTTTCTCAGAAGAAGGGTGAAGAGCTGCTGGTGGGAAGGCAGACAGACAGATCCCTGCCAGACCAACACACCAAAGCTCCTCTGCAGTAGTTGATTCCAGAGCAGGATAATGTCCCAGGAACACTGAGGCTGCCGAATCCATGAAAGGAACCCTCAATCTTACACCTTGATGCTGAGGCCCCGGCCTGGGAAGTGCCAGCAAGGGAGTGGCAGAGCCCCACCTAGCTGTGAGCTGGACCCTCTTGTGGGCCTTGTGTCTCCTGGCGGTCCTGTGCCTGGCGCTGGGCTCTGCTAACACCAGTTTCCATGTCCACCTCCTGCTAACCATGGTGTTGAGTGGTGGGAGTTCATTTTGCTGGGTTGAGAGCATTCAACCTATTCTGGCTACTCCGGTTTGGTTTGGATCAGGGGCAAGCAGCTCCTGTCTAATTATCTTTGTTCTATTTTCAGCCCCCAGTGAGCTCAAGAGTGCTTCCATAAAGAGACAGTGTCAGCCCAGAGGAAGTGGCTGACGGGCCAGGCACTTGGGGAGAGTGCCAGTCCTGCCCTGAGTTAGCACTCTGGATACACATTTCACTCCGTGGCTTAAAAGTCCCTCTCCCAGCCCATCTGAGAGAGCACGTGAGTTTTGCTTTGTTTTAAACTGAGATCATCAGCTTCTTGGCCTCTGAACCGTATTTCACAGGGGGCTGTGTGGGTCTGTGGCAGAGTCTCTCCACCCCAGCACTACCGACATTGTCTGTGGTGGGGCTGCCCTGTGCACAGTGGGATGTTCAGCCCCATGCCTGGCCTGGCCAGCGCACCCTCCTCCCCACCCTCCCCCACCATAGTAACAACCAAAAGTGTCTGCAGACTTCACCCCATGTCCCTGGAGGCACGGTCACCCTGGCTGGAACCACGGACCTATGGAACAGCCCCTGGAGCTCTCAGCAGAGGCCAACTCAAACATTCTCCAAACCGAGCTTCTCCCCTGGACACTGGCTGGTGTAGAGTAGATCTGAGCTGTCGGAGTGGGGGGGTGCACTAAGGCAATGTGAATAAGCATAGCAACAAAACCATCTTTCTTTTCCCTCAATTGGGTCATGGTTTAGTTAAAACGGAGCCTGCAGGGTCTGGGAACGGGAACAGTGGCCCCAGCGGTGTGGTTCCTAAAACCTGGGATCTGCTCAACGACCTTCCCCAGGGAGGGCCTCCTTCCTGGGCTCAGATTCACATGTGGCGTTTTATGTCTCCACCTGCGTGACCTCACATCCTCGAGAAATTTCCTCTTGGTTAAAGCAAAGACCCAGTAACATCGGCTCACTGGGTCCATGCACTCCTTCAGCCACAGGAGCCAAGGGATCTGACTGTGAGCATCACAAGGTGACAAGTGTAGAATGAAGCTGGTGGCCTTAACATAGACATAGCGAGAACTCAGAGGGCAGGTGAGCATGGTCAGCCCGCCCCGTGCCGCTGCCCAGGGATGCCCAAGGCTCCAATATCTGACAGGACCTAGGTTCTGCCTGGTCCGGCCACCTTCACACCTACTCCCAGCTCAAAACAGAATCACTGAGGCCCATCACTCACCTGCTTACCGAAAAGTGTCCTGAATGACTTTTGGCAGTCAAAAATCAAATCCAATATCAAAAGGATATGGTGTAGCCAGAGAAAAGGATATTTTTAAAGGATCTGCCACAGGATAGTGACATTTGTAAAAAAAAAACTTCAAAAACATATTAAGCAAAAATGTAGCACCTTATAAATCCAAAACAGTCATTGTACAAAAATTTGTTTGAACATAATGGAGAAAAAATCTGTTTAGTGAATCGAATGAATGAACCAAGGTAACTACCCTAAAGCGTCACACACGTTAGTGTGCCACGGTTTTTTTCTATGTATAGGTTGGTTTGTTAGGTCATTTAATTTGGGTTGCTTAATATTCAGTTTGGCTGTAAGTTCCAGACACAGTCCCCCAAGAAACAGTGACCTGTGTTTATTTTTCTCTCTTGTTAAAGTGCGCCGACCCAGGCTCTCACTGTCTACCAGCGCGAGGGACCAGGCTCTTCCTAACACATGCTGCACGGGGGGAAGCATCCATCCCTGTGTCCACCCGCAAGTCCACCTTTACATTTGCACTCCAGGACTGGGTCACCTGGTCACATCTAGTTCAAGGAGGGGCTGGGAAGTGTTTTCAGTTGGGGAAGCCATACTCTAGCTAAAACTCAGGGACTTGATTTCCCAGGAGGAAGGAAAGAAGGGGCAGGGGCGGGGGGAGTAGTCTCGGCTACCGTCCACCCTTTAGCCACCCACATACCCGTGCACAGCTGTGCGGTTTGCTTCTTGGCCTTCATGTTGGTGGTTCCAGGGATTGCTCTGGGGTTGGACAAACAGACTCTTCCAGACCAGGCTGCAGTTTCTTTGGCAGAGCATTTATTCAAAAACGTATAGACTTGTTTCCATACAGCTCTATCTGTCGAGGCAGTTTCTAACCCTAAAGCGTCCGGCCTTGGCTTGTTGGCCTCCACACTGGACCGAGCCCTCCTGTCTCCCAGCACAATGTCCTGCCCATCCTGAGCTGCCGAAGCAATGGGCTTCGGCTGCAAGCTTCACAAATTGGTAGGATGGGGCACTAGTTTTATTTTCCGCTAAGCGTGCTGCTTGGCAGAAAACCATCTCGGTTACTGATGTCATCTGAGAGACACAGCAGTTGCTTTTTCAACCCTGCAAGGCTCCAAATTACCAAGCCCTCGGTCAACTGCAATCGCAGACTACAGGCAGAGCGCATCTCCATTAGCACAGCTGCATCCGGCTCATTCCGCTCCTCCAGCCGCCTGCAGCCACGGTCCGCGTCTCTCTTGTAAAGCTCTGCTAACAGCAGCAAGAAGCAGCTACCGCACTCCTACATTATGGGTTTCTCCTGTCATTTCCTACCTCAATCCTTCACAGAACATGGGCTGCTTTTCAAAAACCAATAGGGACCTGCGGCTATGAAATGCTTCATTTCTCTGCAGTCACCGCCGCCAGGCCTGCAGCCCACGATATCTGAGTCCCTGCCACCTGACCCCAGCCATTAAGCCAGTGCCAAATGCTTCAGCTCTGCTTCTTGTAGCTCACTGCTGTGGGTCCTTCATTTTGTCATCAGTTAAGATTAGATTTGCCCGTGAGCGATAGACGCAGAAAATCCAAAGGAGCAGTGGCTTAAAGAAGACATTTAATCCTCCCTCCTTTTGAGCCCAGAGGAAGGTGGTCCATGGATGGGTCCAGTGGGGCTCCGTGGCGGCAGGGACCCACATGTGTCCTATCCTGTTGATGTACCGGGTACCACCTCTGATGGCAATGCCCAGGATGGCTGCCCCAGCGCCAGCCATCCCATCCTCATCCCAGCCAGTAGAAGAAGAGGGGGAAGAGACAGGCACATCTCCACTCATCAAGGAGACTTTCTGGAAGTTGCCTTCCGTTGGCCAGAATTTAGTCACATAGTCGGACCTGGCTCAAGGGAAGATGGAAAAGTCACTCCCATTCTGGATGGCAGAAAATTCAAGATTCTTTCATTAGGGAAGGAGAGGTAATGGATATTTCAGTGCCAGTATTTCTCCTGTTCCCCTAGCTCCAGGGTTCTCGCTCCTCCTCCTCCTTTTTTATGGCAGTCATTTGGCCTCTGACACACACATTTCCGAGGAGACAATGACCAGACAAGGTGTGCAGTCTTCCACCCACGTGTCTTCCTTGAGGAGGGAGCTGTTGCTACACCTACTTCACAGGGACCTAAAATGAGAGTTCTTGGGCTAGTGTTTCACTTGGGGAAGTTCTAACAACTGAGAGAGCTTCTGTGTTCAGTATATCATAAAAGTAAGCAAAACAAACACCTCCGATGAAAAGCACCATAAAACCAATGAGATTGTTAATGCAAATGGGAAACCAAAATTGATGAAATGCAAAATAAATATTTAACTTCTCAGAGGGCAGCTATCTTTAGACTGCTAAGTAATTCGGAGGCTAATGTTCTTAATAAAATCACATTTTCCCTGAAAATATTTACTATTTCTGTTTTATTGCCTTCTTCATTGCCATTAATAAGACTTGATTTAGTTCACAAATATATGTAAATTCCACTAGAGGCAACATTTTCACCAAAATCTCCTGAGGCTGACATATCTAATGGAAACTTTTTAAAGCATGTACATAGACTTGAGAATGAATTTGTGGGGAGAACATCCATGAACACTCCCTGTAGATGTCAGCTGGGGAAAGTGATGATATGTAATATAGACGAACATCCTAAAGGGAAAGGCTATATGCCAGGTGTTTTCATAAACATACCAACGGGGCCATTTTCTCCACTGGACATTATACCCCCAAAGCCTGAGACCTATGAAAATGGTCAAGATCTGAAAAAATACATATATATTGGCTTCAAACTTCACTAATGGAGAAGCAAAATTAATAAATGTCTAATTAAGTATCTACAAAATATAATACTTTGTTCTCGTTAATTGTTAAATTCAGCATTCATGAATTTTTCATCAGTATTTTATTACTTTTGAAAACAATTAGTTGCACAGCATCTCATAATGCAAGAATTCACAAATATTCACAACTGCCAAGATTTCATAATCAGTAGTAAATGAAACAAGCTGCCCATAGCCGAAAGCAAACTCACTTAAAACCTTTCAAAATTCGTATGACAGTGTGTCTGTTTTTAACCCAGGGTGTAGATACATCTCCGTATGTTTGATGTGATATGGAGTTTCAAAAAAAAAAAGCCTTAAACAAGGGGTTGGCATACTTTTTTCTGTAGAGGGCCAGAAAGTCACTATGTTTGGCTCTGGGGGCCATATGGCTCTGCTGCGACAGCACCAAAGCAGTCACTGATGACACATAGACAATGTAAGAGCAGAGCTGTGTCCCAATAAAATTTTATTTACAAAATCAGATGGTGGGCCATATCTGCAGCACTGCTGTGGTTTTCTGACCATTGCTTCAGATCTAGAAAGGTCTAATGACCACCTACTGATCCCTGTCAACAATTCAGTCTCAAAAAGTATAGTTCTCTAAAAATTGACTTTTATCCCGAATTACCCAGAAAATGCCCTAGACTCTCCTCCGAATCATTCCAGCATTACACACTCCCCTGTCAGGTTGAGGTCTCAATGCTTCAGAGATGATTTTTCTTCTTTTTCAGTTACCCAGAACACTTGGTGATGAGTGAAGTAACCATGTACAAACACTTGAGATTTCTTTAAAGTAAATATCTGCGCATCTTCTTCAGAAAGAAAGGGAAGCTGTAACCCTGAGTCAGCTAAAACTGCTTAATGTAATACTTCACTGATTGGACAGAAAAGGTGTGTTTCCCCTGATTGATCCTGGGGTGTGAGAGGGCACTCACCAAAGATGATGCCCGTCAGTTATATAATTTTTTTAGAATTTGGCCATGGAGTCTTAGATAGCCAATGTATTTATTCAAGTGTCCTGATAGCATTTACAATTTTGCTTAGCTATTTACTAAGTAAAATTACTCAGACAAGAAAACCCTCTTATTTTTATTACCATCTATTACCATCATTATCATTACATCACTGTTACTATCCTGTCACTCCTGGCCTTCTCCTGGTGGTCCTTTCTTTCGGATCCGTTAAGATTAGATTTGCCCGTGTGTGGCAGAAAATCCGAAAGAGCAGTGGCTTAAACAAGACATATTTAAACCTCCCTGATCTTGAGTCCAGAATAACGTGGTCGGGGGAGCGGACCTGTGGGGCTTCATGGTATCAGGAACCTGCACCCCCTTTGTCCTGCGTCATACATCTTTTACTCAGACAAGAAAACTATTTATAGGACACATATCCCGCTATTTAAATTTTTTTTAAAAACAATTTTAAAAGAAGCTCCTCTCCCCAACACACACACTTAAATTAGCAGTAAGTGGACAAGTAAAAACCCGGTTAACGTTTGGGTTTTGTTTAAAGATAAAATCTAATTGGAATTTATTCATTCAATGGCTACTAAATTCTTTCACGTCCTTAATAAATGCAGATTACATTGTGTCCATTCATGTGTTACAGCGTGTACTGCTTTTTAAAGTGTTTTAAAAGTGTTACGCATTATCCTTTGTCTTAGAAGATATTTATTTACTCCAAAAGTGAAAAAGAATCAATATTTATTTCTTGGCAACCACTAAAAATACGGATCACAAATATTACAAAAGACATTTCCCTATGCATCTATTTTATTACTTAAACTGAAGCAGAATCATAATTATAGAAATGTACATAATTACTAAAAGCAATCCATTTTCATTTTTCCCCAGTATTACCTGTTACCAAATTGCTGTATAATCTATAAGTTATCATTTCATTTCCCCTCAGAGCAGGGCTGCTAAGAGAAACAAGGTATTACACAATTAAGATTTCTCTAAAAATTCACATAAAAAAAGCGCATGACCTGTTGTTTTGCTTTGGTTCAAGACTTCTGCTCTGAAAATATCAGAGCATTTAATCCAGGCTTGTGGTTATCCTCGTGTTAGGGAGAGGAGGGTTTTAAGGAGGAGAAAGAGGAGGGTGGGGAGAAGAAGAATGTCCTTGAATGGTGATTACCCTCCACGAATGATTCCACTTCTCCAAAATGTGCTTTTTTAGGAAAGAACACCTGACTTAGAATATACTTCTTCAAGTGGAGCAGCCTTTGAAGCCCACAGGTCCGGCTCTGAGAAGGTAAGAGAACTGAGGCTCTCTGCTCTTTCACACTCTCCCTCCTCCACGTAGACGTGCGGCAGGTCCCCAGTGTCACCTGTGAGCACGTCCATGCCACGGAGCTTCTGGAGAAAAGCCAGGGAAGGAGAAGGTAAGTGCTGGGTCCTTCCACACCTGGCCCGCCCTCTCCAGGCTCCACTGGAGGGACCCCTCAATGCCGTGCAAATGGCAGACTGTTCTCTGCCCCGCGCTGTCACAGACTCAGAAACGGCAGCCCCGCCGAGGGGAAAGAGAGCCCCTGCCCACTTCCCAGCTGTTTTCTGGGAGGGAGCTGAGGCAATTTCATCCTGGCTTCTCACCCCCTCCTGCCTTCTCCGTCTTGACCCCTCCGTCACCCGGGCCCTGATGTCGCCCCTCCTGGCATTTGCACCTGCTGTCCCTTCCCCTTGAATGACCACCCCCACCTGCCAACCTCCAATGAGCAAACTCCAGCTCATCCTTCAGGACCCAAGTCATCTCTCCGTGAAGACTTTTGTGGCTTTTTCTGGTCTGAGGGACTCAGTAAACGTTTGTTGGATGGACGTACCAGGTTAAAGGGCTTTCACCTGCTTACTTTTGAACACCTGGAGAAGAATGCAGCCTGAACCTGAACCACGCATCAGCCCAGGTGGGAGTGGGCGTGGCCAGAGTGTTCTAGGCTGTCACTCACTTCTGAGGGGAGGAGCTCACGGAGGGCGTGAGAACGTGCAGAACCAAAGGGCTCAGGGTGCGAGGGGGCGGGAGGTGGGGGAAAGTCGGAAAAAGGAAGTGCAGGAGCCCTGGGGACCACTCACGTCCCCGAGCTCCCAGCCAGCTGTCCCCAACTTCCTCGGGCCCCAGGGGCCCCTCCTAAGCTCTGTTTTCCAGCCCTGCGTCTACAGGTGGCGCAGGTAGGCCCCCGCATGCGTCTGCGATCGCTTTGTTAATGGGTGTATATTATAAATGTCACTGTGCTCAAAATGGGTACTAATAAGCTGCTCTTATCTGTTTTACTTTTAATGGCGTTCTTCCCACGATCTCATTTGAACAGAAGAATTTTGCTCCTGAAAAGGTTTAGGAACAAAATCAACCAGAGGGCCTCTGTGACCCCCTTAGCTCAGAACTTCTGTAAGCCTACAAAGAACACAGAGGAACATTCAGGCCTTGGCCAAGTTCTTAGCAACTCAGCAGCAAAAAGAATCTGCCAGGGACTGAAAAACTCTATGCTTCCGAGTCTAGATGTGTGTTTTTTAATTACTTCTAATTCATTTTTCCACACAGACCTCTCCTTTTATTTTTATGTTGGGTATATTTTTTTCACATTTCTAATTTTCAGGGCTTCTCACAGCGGTTAGCAAGGTAAGGTAACCCTTTCCATAGTGACACCTTCACCTGTACTTACAGGAGTAGAATATTCATTTCTTACTCCTCTTGGCTCAAAAAGCATGTCATAACCCTTAAATTTAAAAAGGATGAAAAATACATAAATAAGTAAAACAAAAGTAACAAGGATGGGAATGTTACTGGTTTCATATAAATTACCCAAGGATGCAGACATATGACTAGAAATTCTTGCAATCATATTGCTTTTAATTTCTGCACTAAAGGTACCATAATTTTCGTGAGCATAGCTATCCATAGCAAAAACCCATGGGCAAGCTTTTTGGTTGCTTGGTGGGGATGGAGTGTGAAAATTTGAGATTTTCAAGTCCCATCTTTGGTCCACAAAAGCCCAGTAAGCCCCACGTTGTGCCATGGGCACGGCCTCAACATTTGTGAATGAGGTAAATTTATCCCTAGGACCCAAAAATGGCTACATAATTTGCAGTAACCAGTGCAAAATTAAAAATATGGGACCATTTGTCCAAATATTAAAACTTTCAAGATGGTGACCATAGAGCTTTAAACCAAGCATGGGGACCCGTGTGACTGCCCAGGTCCATCCATGCCCATGAAGCCAGCCCTGCCAGGGCCAAAGGGACACATTTATGAATGCATAAGCCCTTTCAAGGGTGGGTTCACAGCATCATCTTTGTGCAAAAAAGAACAGCATGTTTTTATTTTAGCTCAAACACAGCCCAAGGAAAGGTAATGAAATTATAGAGATCTTGAATTCTTTTTTAGAAGCTTTCCATCACAAAAATTGTAGCTTTTTGAACCTTGAATATCTCTTTTAGTAATTGTCAAAAAATTTTACATTTTTTTGTTAAATTAGTACCTATTTATACTGGGGGAGTCCAAATAAGGTCTCTATTTGAGACCTCTATTAATAGTGCTACACCAAAGTCAGTTTTCTAGTTTTGATAAAGTATTATAGTTATGTTATCCTCAGGGAAAGTTGTGTGAAGGGTAGACAGGAACTCTCTGACCTATTTTTACTTCTTATGAGCCAAATTATTTCAGAAAAATCATTTTATTTTTTTAAAGATGTTACTATTTAAAGTAAGAGCCATGCCCAATGTGGGAATTGAATTCATGACCCCGAGGATCAAGAGTCACATGCTCTGCCAACTGAGCCAGACAGTCACCCCCCAGAAAAATAATTTTAAAAATCAGAGCAATAGTTCTAGAATTTGTCATAGAGTATATGAAGACATGATGCAGGAGGATGTTAGGGCTCAGTTGGCAGGAGGGCTGAAATTTGATTGGGGCCAAAGCCATGCACTTGTAACCTTACAGATGATCTCAGGTACCCTCAGATGGACATGAGAAAATGTATTTATTTGTGGGTGTTCTAAAAAGCATCATATTTGATCAGAACTATCAAATAACAACTCTTTAACAACCAACAATAACCTTAGCTAGGTACATAAATGAGAAGGTTTTCATTGACTTGTGTTTGTTCTACTGGTATCACAGAATCTTCTAGAAGGGCCACCCCTCAAGGGAACCAACTGTCAATCATTAGGGGACTTACCACAACAGGTAGTGAACTTCTATAATGCACTGAAGTCCCCGAGACAAAGTACTCCTTGTCCAGTGCTCTCGCTGCAGGTGGTAACATGTCCTGTAGATCCTAGGGGGAGACGCTGATTTACTCAGAAGATATGTGTCCTTACCACACATTTCCCTTGCTCTGTGCTCATATGCACATAAAAGCTAGCATTTTGATGAGGAGAGGGAGAATGGGAGTGGAAGAGGGAAGGTGGATAGATGCAAGAGAAGACTCTCGAAACAAGAGCACGTGGCCGGCCATCTGTAACGCATAGATGCCCGAACATCGAGTATGTGCATGCATAAGACCTAGCCAGTGATGCAGACAAATGAAACTGTCTAGATTTAGGGATGAGGCTGTCAGCAATTTCTGCTTCGGGTGTCTATTATTTTATGAGTCCCTTCAATAATGAAACAAAATTTCAAAGAGAAAAATGCTGGCAATGGATCTTAACAATGGTTAAAGATAGTCCATGCTTTGCAGCATGGATTTTAAAATATCAGGTTACCCAATAAATCATGTGACAACTTAACTTAGGGAAGGTGTGTGAATGGTAGCACAGTTAACCAGGTACCATAGGTGCAATTTCTATCCACGAGGTGCAGTGAAGGGAACACAGAGACACATGGAGAAATAGGAACCAGAGACCTTGGCTTCCTCCCCAGTAGACGGAGAAAGGCAATTACCCTCCCCCAGGGGTTCTGGTGAAGTGTCCGTGAGATGGTGCTTGCAGGGTGCACACCCCAGGGCACGGTCAGTAAATCAGAGCTGTTTTTATGTTATCGGGAGCGATTCTTTTGGCTTCTGGGAGCTAACAGACCAGTCTGTTAGCTGGGAGGAAGTACCACCAGCCCAGCTCACACAGTGTCCGTGTGCAGGAGAAAGGGCAGTCCTCCCCCAGGAGCATGGATTGGTGGGCGGAATGCCCGCTGGGCCTGCCCCTGCTCACCCACAGCCAGGCATCTGCTCAATGATTTATGGCAGCCCTGGATTAACTCACTGTTTTTGAAGTGGGATCATCTACCCCGTAGAGAAGGGAGGGTTTAACCAGTTTGGGAACACGGGCTTAAATGACGTTGAATTGCATGGTGAGAAAATTATTCCCCTTCTGACTCCTCATCCACACTCCTAATGATGGAGGTCTCCGTCTGGTACCAGCATGGCTTTCCCATCTCTGCCTTCCTCACAGACCCCGTGCCTTTGGCAGGTGGCATTCTCTACCCAGAATTATTGGGCTCTATTTCTGTTGTGTCTATTTCCCACTTCCTAGCTCTGCGCGGTGGCAGTATCGTAGCCAATGAGGTTTATCCGTGGCGCGATTATTGCTGTTTTCCACTTCCTTCTCTGCTCTTCATACCAGTAAAACTGGTTTTTTGTTTGTTTGTTTGCTGCTGAAATATAGAATGCCCTGTTTAAAGAAAGGTACTTCATTTGGACAGAAGTCCATTTAGAGAAAGAAATACGGTAGAAAGTACACTAGCATCCGTGGCATATGCACGCGGCAGAAAGTCGTGACAGTGGCACTGGCCAGGCTGAAATTTGGGCCCGGGGTCATCGGATGCTGTTGACCTGTTGGGTTGTGTGGCGTCATGGGGCTTTGCAGGTGAGGCTGGGGTGCAGGCAGGCGTGGAGCCAGCTTGCACAGGGACCTCATGGATGTGGGGGCAGGGTCATGTTCACTGCCATGGAAACCATCTGTCAGACCCAAGCAGCAAATAGGCCGCTCTTACCTCAGGACCCAGCTCAGCCCCGGCCTCAGCTATGTTGAGCAATAGGACTGGCACCTGAGCCCTGACATCTGGCCTTTCCTGTGGGACACACATGGAGAGAAATATGATGGGGTTGAAATTACAGACAGCAGAAATAAAAGCACAGAGCAAGGAATGACATCCCAAACACGTATCAATGTCATCACAGAAAACATCCAGACCCTGGAAAATACACCTATCCCATAAATCCAGAGGACTCCTTTGGAATTGCTGGTGGGGAGGTGGAGTTTCTTGTTGATCTGTGTCTCCTGGGGAGTGATGGTAAAAGAACTCCTATTTTGACAGGGTCTCAGAATCTAAAGCTCATTATCTTCCAAGGCTGGTGGCAATGTTCTCGAGGTCCCCAGGGTTGGGTGGTACCGTGTGTTCATTCTTCAGTGAACACACATCCACCAAGGGCCCAAATGTTGCTGGGCCTGGATTTCTCTTCTCAGAGGGGAGCATCTGTGCAATTTTGCAGACATGACAAGGTGGTAGAATCATCAGTAGCATCTTGGATGAAGTGAGTCCTCCCAAGAGCACAGAATGTCCCTGGGTGTGTACATATGCGTGGAATAGTCACATAAGATGGATGACCGAGGAGAAGTGTGTTCGCTTTGAAATGGCCTGACTTACCAATGGTTACAAAGACATGATTAGTAATTACTGTTAATAATACTAATGTTGGCAGCCACTTTTATTGCGTGCCTGCCAATGCCCTAGCCTGTGCTAAAGATTTCGGATGTTGATTAAATTGTGCAATAAACCTGAGAGAGAGAGAGCATTATTAAGCTCTCTTTATATATGAAAGCCAAGGATTTGTTAGCTTCTGTGTTGGATAAGCCACAGTTTTGGGATCCAAACCCAGATTTGCTGGATCCCAGGTGCAGAGCCTCGAGGATATGATGGTAGAAGCAAAGGCATGTCCCGAGCTGTGAGTAGGAGACAAGGGGAAAACATCTTGGGACAAGAAGGGGACAGAGGAAGGCTCTCTCGTCCCTCCAACAGCTGGTCCTTGACCGGCGCCATCTTGCCACCAGAAGCCCCCCAACCTGCCTGGCCCCAGCCCTGCAATGACCAGGCCGCCCTTCCACACCCTCTGCTTCTCTAGCTGCTTCCTTCTCCCCAAGACACAACCACTGAGCCACTGGCCAATAAGAAGAGCACCCGAGCCCATCACCACCTCTTCCACCTTGGCTATGCCCGCAGACGCTGCTAGGGGAGGCAACTTCCCCACTGGTCTCCTCCAAGCTCGGCTGCCTCAGCCCCGTCCCGTCCCCACACGGGAGGCTGAGCTCAGCCCCTGGGCCCAGGAGCCATGTCCATTTTCCTGGATGACTAAGCATCAGAGCGGAGTGAAACTGCCCAAGACAAGGGATCCTGTCTGCCTCGTGGAGCACTGCTATTTGTTAAGATGGTTTCCTTCTCAAAATTACACAAACAAAACAGTGAAGTGCGGCTGTCATTGCTGGGGTGGGGGAATTTTTCTGGGGGTCCAGTGTCTGGAGAGTTTGGACTGTACCTCCTGCCTTCTGGACCCCACACCAGGAAGCGCTCAAAGCAGGCCCGCCTGCATGCACACCCCTACCATTGCCCAAGGCTGTCACTTCCCCCTTCCATCATGCCAGGAAGGAAGAGAAAATGTGAGAAGGACCCCAGGGGTCTTAGCCGGCCCCCAGCTTCTCCAATCACCAATCACTTTTTAGAATATCTCCCTATCTACTCCAGCATAATGCCAAAGTTAATTGGACTGTCTTTTCTCAACGGCATCTTACATGCTGCAACATGTCTCATCCTTCCAGGAGAAAATCATGGGTGGAGATCTAAGACAACAAGATGGGGCCACCTGTATCCTCTGTGCAGGAAAGACTGTGTTCCCTTTGGACATTTCTTTGGCTTTCAGTTTCTAGACCAAGCACCCTTAGTTCCAGGTGAAGACAGACTAAAGAGCTCACAGTGCCTTCATCTGGTTGCCCAGCTAACCCCAGCCCAGGGCTGTTGTGAGGATACACGGCAAGGTCAGCATCAGCAGGGGCAGCTTTGAAAATCCATCAGTTACCTGCTGATTACCTTGTGTCTGGGGGAGGGTGAGAGGTTTTCATGGGCACGTCGTCTTTGATCAACACCTGATCTGTTAGGTGGATTTTTATCCTCCTTGGTTCACAGGGGAGGATGTGGGGCTGAATGACATGCTCAATGAGGTGAAGCTAATGAGAAGCAAAGCCCGGGTCTTGTCCCTGCCAGACCAGCGAGTTCTGTGCCCAGCCTCAGCCGGGCAAGGTTAGAGGGGCGGGCGCTGCCTCACCACCACCCCAGGCATTTCATTAGTGAGCCTGACACACTTCCATCTAGAGAAAGTCCCCCTGGTGAACAACATCTCACCCTAAGCAAGGCTTCTCCACCTCAGCACTGCTGGTGCATTGGGCCAGACCCTTTGTGCTGGGGCCGTGGCCTCTCTGCGTCCACTGGAAGCCAAAACCATGTCTTCCCACCCCAACCAAGTTGCCACCATCAAAACTGTCTCTAGACATTGCCAGACATCCCCTGGGGGGCAAAATCGCCCCCAATTGAGAATTACTGGCCTAAAATAATCATTCAATTTAGTTGAGTTGGACAGTTTTCACAGGAATCTTTTTCCCATTTGCTACTCAAATATAAGTGAGCGTGAAGAAGTGACAGGGGGCTCGATGGGTGGAAAAACATGTGCTGGACTATGGACATCACTGTCAGGAAACAGGAAGCGTTAGTCTCCACTACCTGGGTTGAAATGGCTTTGCTCTCATCGTTATACATGTTCAGAGTCTGCTGGCCTTCCTCAGAGCTTCTGAGCTTGACTTCAGATAAAAAATAGCATCGCAGCAGGAACAGCAGAGTGGCTATAATGAGACAGAGCAGGGAAATGAGTTGGGCAGCTCATCGTCATCAGAGGTTTCAACAGGATCTTGTTCTGATGACTGGTAACTCAGCCATGAACAGACATGGTCAGCTGTGTCTTGATCATCTCCATAGCTATAATAATGAGTGCGGCTTGGGCCACAAGTTGGTGCTAGATAATTATTGGTTGAATTGATCAATACCATGTGACCAATAACATTGTATTGTTTATTTGAAAATTGAGCTTGCTTATTCGTGTCCTGCAAGCCCAGGAGCCTAGATATCTGCGCATTGATGCACCCAGTGTTACTGCGAACCACAGTGTTCCTCTATGGGGTCCATTGCTATAAATTGCTGTCCACTGAATTTCTAGCTGCTTTTGCCAGACAGGTAGCATGTCTGAGTCTCTGAGACTCTGATGAGCCTAAGGGTCATTCTCAAGGCATCCCACTGATCTCTGCCATCTTCTGCTCCCTGGCCCAGAGGACTCCACACTGCTGGCTTACAGCCTGGGAAGAGGAGCCACATCCCCAGGACAGCCGCTGCAGACCACTGACCTGCCAGAATCATGAACGCTGCACAGGGAGGGGCCAGGGTGCCCACGAGGAGCCCAGTTCCTGTGACTGCAACTGATGCCTCCACACACGAGACTCCGCCGGGACAGAAACAGACCCTTACATGGACAGTCTGCTTCTGGGAAAGTCCCTGTTTGTCTCTGATGACCAGTGGCACCGAGTAATTACCCGGTGGGAGGCTTCTCAACATTAAAAGTTCAACTGACCGACCTGCAAAAGAGAAACAGACATTGCATGTGTTGACTTGCTCATTTGCCCATCTACTCAACAGAGATTTACTATGTCCCTCCCATGCACCACTGCTCTGTACAAAAGTTAGCCAATTTTGGACTTAGAGGGAACAGTCACCAAGACCACGCTCACTTCTATCTGACACCAGCTATGTGTCCAGGGGTTCTCAAGACCGTGCTCAGGTTTGAAAGTTCCCTAGAAGGACCCATAGAACTCACTGAAGGCTGTGCACTCATCGTTATGGTTCATTGCAGCAATAGGTTATGGATTAAAATCAGCCAAGGGAAGAAGCACAGGGAGCAGAATTCAGAGAAGCACCAAACACAGAGCTCCCAGTTCTCTAGCAGAGTCACGATAGTGTCACTTCCCACATCAGTAAGTGACATAATGCTTAGAGTGCTGTCAGCCGGGAAGCTCCTCTGAGCCTTGTGTCCAGGATCTTTATCAAGACTCAGTCATGTGAATCTGGTTGGCCATCCAATGGCTGACCTCGGTCCCCAGTTTTGCTGGGGATCAACGGATGCCCACATGACCCAAAGCCCCCACCCTAAATCACATCTGTATCTGATTGGCACAAGACCAAGGTAAACAAAGACATTCCTTTCAGGCAAGACATCCCGAAGGCCTAAAGCTCACCTCCCAGAAGCCAAGGGCAAAGGCCAGAGCTCTTTTGGGGCAATGTTCAATGGCTTACTACATACTCTGGGGCTGACCTCATAGTTTCATCTAAAAAATATGCTACATTCTACAGACACACTGATAGAAGCTCAAAGGAGAATGTTGACAGCAGATGCCAGTGGCTTCCTGGTAACAACACCCCAGTTTTCCTTTGGGAGAGCCCCCACCTCCTGAACCAGCCCATGCAGATCAGGAAATGCGAAGCTCAGACCCCAACAAGGCCCAGCATGGGCTCAGAACCAGCCAATCAGCATATCTGTCCTCCTAATTCCCATCCACAATAATTCATGGGGCAGCTGACCAAAGCCACACAGTGATATAAATCTTCTTGCCAGGTGCTAGGATGAGTCCTGGGGATGCCCAGCAGCCACCCTGCTACCCCGGAGGAGGGCCTGCCTGAAAATGAAGGAACCCAGGGAAAGAGAGAGCCACAGTACGAACATCTTCTAGGGATGTCCCTTGAGCACCTAGACCCAGCTCTGCTATAACACAGGCTTACTGGCATCTTCTCAGTTACAAAAACCAATAAATAATAATAATTATATTATAGGATACTTATTAATAATAATTATAGGATAACAATAATTATTATAGGATGATTATTATTATTTTGCCTGGGTCGGTTAGAGTCAGGTTATTTTCAATCCTTTATCCCTGGCCAATACCAATACTCACCCCGATTTTTCCCCAATTTCCATGTGTCTCCTGCACTTTCCCACGAATTGTCCAACTCAAATGTAAAGGGGTCTGCATAGGGCTCCAGGTCACCATCCTCCGCTTGGAGGAGGAGGGTCTCATTCAGTGCAGACTCACAGACTTCCACATATCGAGAATGGGGATGGAGAGCGGGGGCGTTGTCGTTGACGTCGGACAGGAAAAGCATCAGGGTCCCCGTCCCAGTCTGTGGCGGGAGGCCTGGAAATGGGGGAGTTCCAGGAAGGGTTGCTTGTTAATTAAAGAGCCTGCTGGATGCACACAAACCCCCGGAGAACGAGCAGTATCATCCCCCGAGGAAAGGAGTCATTGTGCTGAAACCTTCCCTTTCAAGGTCCTAGGCTTTCCTCTAGGTGCTTGCTCTGTTCTCTTGCTTTTTTGAAAATTCAGAATATCTGGGAAGGGTAAGTTAACAAAACACTTGCCACCTCAAGTCATTTGTAGAACCAGGTAGAATATGGAATCATTCATTTTTCCCAGTGTGAGCCATGCCGGGTGTAAAGAAGGGGGTGGGGCAGGAGTGAAACAGGTGTGACGTGGTGATGGAGATGTTCGGCCTCTTGGCTGTGTCCACATCGGAATCCGGGTTGTCACCAGGCACTACAGTCTTGCAAGATGTTCACCAGTAGGGGACACTAGGCAGTGGGTACTCTGGACCTCACCACATTGTTCCTTCAGGTCCCTGGAAGTTGGACCCCCACCTTGCTCTCTCCCCACTTAAGACTGATTAGGAACACAGATTTAACATCTTCCTAACCAATATTCTACTAGTTAGTCACACAAATGGGACATACACCTACATTTCCCTTAAAACCTGGGCTTTAACTCACAGATTTCCTTAAGCACAATTATTAAAGTTGAGAGTTGTTATTTATTCATCTCTGTGTTTTGGCAGGTTTCAAAGTCCAGCCTTGGGAGATCATAGAGAAAAGTGTTGTAACGTGCTCAGAGCGCTGCTCACCCTGGTTTATGACAAATTTGTCCCATGCAATCATGTTTACCAGAGCCGATAAGCCATTCCAAGTACAGGGAAACTGTGCTAAATATTTATCACACACCACCAGCTTTGAGGAAGAGCTAAAGAGTTGTTTTATGGAGGGATCAAACAGACACTGGGTCTGATGGCAGCTTCCTCATTGGCTCAATCGTCTCTTCTGAATGAATACCGCCTCTCTTCCCATGGCACTGGTCCTTGGTTTGCCATTTCAAAAATTATCGTGAAAAAATAGTTGCCAGGATGGATGCATAGTGCTGAAAAGGTTTATTTTATGTATTTTTCCCAGTTGTGCTGACTCTCACTAGTGTTATTTTCCCTCAGGGAGCAAGGAAACACACTCCTCCCCCCCAATTTTGGGTGAACACTTACCATCATCAACAGCGTGCGCGATGATTATGTAAAAGCTATCATTTACATAAGGGGATTCTCGGTCAATTTGCTCCCTGGTGGTAACTGTTCCTGAGAGTTCATCTATGGTCACCCAATTTGCCAGATCATAAGCCAGTTTATATCTGGTAGAAGGAAACACATGCAATTTTTAAAATTAAAATTTACATCAAAAGGCAAATCAAAATATATCATAGCAGACACAGATCCTATCACAAGTAGTATGGGAAATTGTAAGTGGAATCATATGGAATTTGTCTTTTTGTGACTGACATATTTCACTTAGAATAATGTCTGCAGGTTCATCCACGTTGTAGCATACTGAAGAATATCCTTGGTTTTTAAGGCTGAATAACATTCTGTTACGTATATATACCATGTTGTGCTTATCCACTCATCCTTCAGTGGACACTTGGGTTGCTTTGTCATTTTAGTTATCATGAACAATGCAGCTTTGAACATGGGTGTACAAATATCTCTCTGAGATCCTGCTTTCAATTCTTTGCATAGATATCCAGCAGTGGAACACTATGGATCATATGGTGCTCTACTTTGAATTTTTTTGAGGAACCACCATACTGTTTCCCCCAGTGGCTGCACCAACTTATATTCCCACCAACCACGCACAAAGGTTCCAATTCCTCCACATCCTTGCCAACACTTGTTTTCTGGTTTTTTGATAGTTGCCATCCTTATAGGTGTGAGTGTAGTTTTGATTTGCATTTCCCTGATGATTAGGAATGTTGCTTATCTTTCATGTGCTGATTGGCCATTTGTGTATCTCTTTTGGAGAAATGTCTGTTCAAGTCCTATATCCACTTTTGGATCAGGTGGTTTGTGTTTTTCTGATGTTGTGTCTTAGGAGTTCTCTATATATTCTGGAATTAATCCCTTATCAGTTATAGGACTTGCAAATATTCTCTCCCATCCTGTGGGTCACCTTTGTACTCTGTGAATAGTGTCTTTTCATGCACAAAATGTTTTGATTTTCATGAGGTCCAATTTGACTATTTTCTCGTTTGTTATCTGCGTCTTTGGTGTCACATCCAAGAAATCATTGCCAAATCCAGTGTCATGGTGCTTTTGTCTTATGCTTTCTTCAAAGAGTTTTATTGTTTTTGGTCTTACATTTAGGTCCTGATCCATTTCTAGTTAATTTTTGCATATCGTGTCAGGTGACCTGTTTGCACATTCAGATCTCCAAGTGAGTCTCCTGTAGAGGGCATGGACCACGTGTTTTATACATTCTGCCAGTCTCTGTCTTTTGATTAAAGAGTTTAATCCATTTATGTATGAAGTAATTCTGACAGTAAGTCCTTCATCAGCCTTCTCCTTCCTTGTTAGGTTTTCTGTCTCCTTATTGGCATTTCCATTTTCTTCACACACTGTTTCTGGTCTTCCTCCATATCCTCCTTTAGGTCTTGGAGCATTTGTAAGACTGTTGTTGGGAAAGACTTCATCTAACCGATCTGCCATCAGGTATTTTTCAGGGGCAGTTTCTGTTGATCTATTGTTTTGAATGGGCCTCACTTTCCTGTTTCTTTGTATGCCTTGTGATTTTCTTCTTGAACGCTGGGCATTTGGATCTAACCATGCGGGAACGCTGGAGATCAGATTCTCCCCCTTCCCAGGGTTTTCTGTTTTTCCTTATTGGTTTTTTTTTTTATTTTTGTTCATTTATTGGACTGTCATGGGCTGTCTCTGTGCTGAGGATCAGCTTCTCAACTTAATGCCCTCTCAGGCCTTTCCTGACCCTTTCCCTGGGCATACCGGCCACTTTCTGATTTTCCTCATACAGGTGGTTGTTGTGGAATTGTCCTAGCCTTTAACGTCTGGCTCCTGAAATAGGGAAAAGCAAACAATGAAGAGGGGAAAATGCAGGCACCTGTCCATCCAATCCCCGGAAACCACTTCAGCTGGCGGGGAAGGGGGTCTGCCACATCAACGGAAGGGCGAAGCCAATGGCTGCCTTCCTCTTTGGCTGCACCTCCGGGAGTGAAAGCAGCAATCAGCGAGCAGAGCACTGATCCCTGATATTTGGGGGACAGAGATTTTTTTTTTGCCCACTCTGACTCCTGCAAACTCTATGTTTGGCCGTTCCAGGAACAGGTGCACAGCTGCTGGCCACCGGCCGGGGATAGGGAGGAGTTGCTGCTACTGTGCTAAGAGCCATAATTGACCAAAATTAACTGCAGTTTACCATCCAAGCCTTTCTCTGGCAGTTGCAAGCCTTCAACAGAATCCAGAGTTCCAAAACAGGTACGTGAGACAGATTCTTCCCATGCAGTTGTCTGGGTGGGGAGAGAGATTCCTGGTGCTTCCCACTCTGCCATCTTCCTAGGGATTATGGCAACTCTATGGCAAAACACTGAGCAACCCAAGTGGACGCCCACAGGTGGATGGAAGAACACAGTGTGGTCTGTACAGACAGTGGAATATTATTCAGCCTTGAAAAGCAAGGAAGGTCTGCAACCTGCTACCACATGGATGAACCCAGAGGACGTCATGCCAAATAAGCAAAATAAGGCAGTCACAAAAAGACAAATACTGTACAATCCCACTTCTATGAAGCACCTTGAGTAATCAAATTCACAGAGACAGAAAGTAGCATGGTGGTTGCCAGTTGGAAGGAAGAGAAATGGGGATCTTCTTTCATGGGGACAGACTTTCAGTTTTATAAGATCAAAAAGTTCTGGAGATGGACAGTGGGGGTGAATGTGCAACAATATAAATATACTTAATGCCCCTGACCTGTACACTTAAAAATGGTTAAAATGGTAAACTTTGTGTTAGATATATTTTACCACAATTAAATTTTAAAAACCCCACTTCTGTTGCCCAGAAGCCAGAGGGCTGCCGGTTTACAACTTTTAGTAAAAAGGGACATAGAAACACATAACAAATTATTTTAATATAAGAAAAACGGTATAAAAGCGATGTGTGCTAAGTGCAAGGGGAAAAGAGCAGGTGCGCTTCCCCGGGGGGAGGGGGTCAGAGGCAGCTCTGGAAGGAAGAAGGCACTGAACGTGGGCCAGCGGGCCTTGTCCTGGTGGCTTCTGGTATTTTCATAACTGAGCTGGAGTCAACCTCACCCGCCCGCCAAAGGGCAGGTTTCCACCAGGAACGCCCGCGGGTAGGGGGCTGGTTCTGTTTAAACAACCACACTCCCTGTTCCTTTCTTCTCACCTTATCTGGCCGGCAGCTCTGTCTGGATCTGTAGCATTGAAAATTCCCAGCTGAATTCCAGGCCTGGCACCATCGACCTCACTGACGACAAAGCTCCTGGGGTGAAAGGCTGGTGGGTCATTGACGTCCGTCACCTGCACACTCACAGTGGTGCTCACCGCCGCCCCCTGGGGCCCCTGGACCTGGCCCCCCTCACAGGGGAAGAGCGGCTCCTCGTTCTCCACGGCGATGACAAGGCTTCGTACAGGGTGAGTTTCATAATCCAAGGGCTGCGAGTCCCAGAGAGAGGGTTTCATGAGCACCTGCTGCTTCTCTGGCCGGAGAAACCTCAGTATGTGATCACGCGCACCCAGAGTGCATGGCTTTTGCAATTCATTTATTATTTACACCATTTTTGGTAATGATCAAAAGACAGTGGCCAACCCATTTTCAAATCACTTACGGAGTTCTGGTTTTTTTTTTTTTTCCCTCCCCCTCTCCTGGTTGAAAAGAGCCACCATCCATCAGACAGTAATGAAAAATGTAACAAAAACCATAACCTAATGAAACATTAACGTGGCAACTCTGCTGCAAAAAAAAAACCAGGGGAGCTTAAGGAAATACAGAAATTAATGATCACAGTTACTCAGGGTGCAAAGTGGGCAGTGACTTAAAACAACTGAAAAGCTAGGAATATTTGAGATATTCAATCCCAGGCATCTGGCATGGAGTACCCCAGAGCCTTGCTGTTCACAGCATGGTTGGGGCCCACGGGCATCAACCGGCACTTTGTTCCTCTGATAGGCAGGAGCCCAGGCCCCATCCCAGACCTTCTGAACCAGGCCTTTCAACCTGATCCCCACATTGACTCGCCGGCATGGCACCAGGACACTGGTCACTCCAGGGTCTAGCTGAGAGCAATTAAGACTAAAAGCAATGGAGTCAGACCATCTCAGTCAGAACCACTCCTCCGGCTGTGTGACTTCATGAAAACGACCCAACCTATCTGGGCCTTGGTTCCTTATCAGTGAAAGGAGAAAATAATGCTTTTCTGCAGGGCCAGCTCCTCATTAGGCACAGCAGGCGAAGTGCCAGGGGCCCACAAGACTTTTAGGGGTCCATGCATACCTTCTAATGTCTTTTAAACTCAGAAGGAAAAAAATGAACTTTCAGGATTAGAGAAAATGTCTGAAATATTTTATCACATCAGAAAAAAATAAACATTTTAGGACCTATATAAATCTATTTTGTCTCAAACAGAAAAAATTAAATGTTGAAGAACTTGGCACCTTGTCAAAAGTAATTTTCAGTATTGATATTATTTTGGTGGGGAGGTTCCACAAAGGCAAAAGGGCCAAGGGCCTGCGGCAGCCGGCACTCATGACACAGCCTGCCCCCTCACTGGGGGCCACTGGGACACACAACACACCACACCTCACGTGCATGGCACAGCGGGCGCTCCCTGACGCTGGCTGCCATCTCCCTATCGGGACTCCTGCGGAGAGGGGCCCCGACACTGCAGCCACCTGGCAGGTGTGCCTTCCCCGATGGCTTTACCTTGATCACATTTAAAATCCCTTCGTTGGTCTCAGGGTCAGTCAAAATGTCAAAATGTCCCTCTTCGTTGCCATTCAGTATGTGAAATTTTACTCTCCAAGCTGACGTAAATGGCAAGTCACCATCTTGGACCAGGAGACGCAACACGCTCTGGCTTGTGCAGCCTTCAGAAATCTGAATCCTGTGCTGGGAGAGGCAATCATCATGTCCACCCCATGGGGATAAAGACACACAATTGAAAAAGAAAGCAAGAAAGAAAATGTAAGTCCTTAGCACAAGAACATGGGTGTATGCTATTTAACGTGACCTCAAATGATCTGAAGCTCTGCCTGACCCGTCACAGCAAGCATCTATTCCTTCTCCCTGTGACTCGTGTCTACAGCCGAATAACTTCAAAAGTCCTCTTAAATCCAACTCGATGCACTATTTTTCTAAGAATCTTTAAAATAATAATGCACACCCTAGTTTATGCTGCTAAAAAAACCTAACTTCTAAAATAGAACTCTTATAGTGACTTAGATTAAGACAATCATTTTTCTAACACATATAGATCTTTAGCTTGTTATTCAGTGCTTTTGGCAACAAGATAATTTCTCTTTGACAAGTACACGGAAACAGGGTTTATTTTCCCCACCCTTAGTTTTGAGAGCAGAGCTTTTTACTAAGCCAGAGAAAGATTTCAAAACAAGGTTCAATATATTTCAGTTATTCTGTACTGTTTGGTGAGGAGTTTTCATTTGAAAACACTTCAGCTTTTCTCACTGTAATTTTTTTTAAGATTTTTGTGAGTAGGCTCCACGCCCAGCATGGAGCCCAACGTGGGGCTTGAACTCACAACCCCTGAGATCAAGACATGAGCAGAGATTAAGAGTCGGACACAACCGACTGAGCCACCCACGCACCCCTTGTCTATACAATTTTTTAAATTTTTTCAAATGATACTTTTTGAAAATAATTGTTTGTAGCATTTATTAATATTCAACAAAGGCTCCAATGTGCCAGATTTTGTCTTAGGTGCTGTGAACAGGATGGGCAAAACTCCATCCCCAGGGAGCAGATGATTAAGAGTGTGTGTGTGTGTGTGTGTGTGTGTGTGTGTGTGTGTGTGAGGCATTTATTAATATTCAACAAAGGCTCCAATGTGCCAGATTTTGTCTTAGGTGCTGTGAACAGGATGGGCAAAACTCCATCCCCAGGGAGCAGATGATTAAGAGTGTGTGTGTGTGTGTGTGTGTGTGTGTGTGTGTGTGTGTTGGATAGGAACAGAAAGGAGGGGGTGGATGCTGTGTGGGGGATTGAACTTGGTTGTCGGGAAAGGTCTCACTGAGAGAGGTCAGGAGAAAGAAGTAAAATAGATATTTTTCTTTTAAAAAATGCATATGAGAGAGCAAAAAATATAAAATAGGAAACAAATCCTGAGTGTTTTTAGCAATCTTGCATATCTCAAGTGGTGTGGCATTTCCAAATGATCTGGAATGTGGGTTTCAGTGCTTTCTTCAAGCATGTGGATTGGTAGCATCTGAAATCCCGTGTGGAACCCTGTATATAAATCAGGTGATCTGAGAAAGGCTCAGCCAGAGCCCACCTGCTCATCTTCGCTATTCTAGAACTCCAGATGTAGTGAAAAAGCTCAGGTCTAGATCTCACCCGGGGGTGAACCTGCCCCCCAGGGGACATTGGGCAATGTCTGCAGACATTTTTGGCTGTCACGCCTGGGAGGTGCCCCTGGTGTCTAGTGGGCGGAGGTCAGGGATGCTGCTAAACATCCTACGGTGCACTGGGCGGCCTCCCCTGGTCCTACAACAACGAATTTCCCATCCCCCGTCAATAGTGTGGAACTGAGAAACTTCCATGTAGAGTGAGCATGGATTCTGTATCTTCCCTGTGCCTCGGCTTCCTCATCTGTAAGACAGAAATCATGTGCGAGTCCCAGCACCTCAAAATGAAAGCATGCACGTGAAAGCTCTGAGCACAGTTTCTGGCACAAAACAGTAAAGAAACGTAAGCTCGCAAGTCTATTATTAAATGATTCTATATCAGGATGGTTGATGTCTTCATCTAGTTTAAGTGATCTTGGAGAATGACACGTATCTTGGGTGTTATGGAGAATTCCCTCAGCAAAACTGAGCCTAGAACTTGGGGCCGTTTATGCAGGGCCATGGCGTCTGAGGAGGCCCAGGTGTCTTACATTCTCCTGGGTAAACGTGGGCCTGTGGTTGTTGCCTTCTTGCACGTTCACATGAACCGTGGCCGTGGATGTCAAGGGAGGTTCTCCCAAATCCTTCGCTCCAACTAGTAGTGTAAACCACGGAGCAGTCTAGGTGGGAAGGAAAAGAACAGTCAAGCCCTTCAAATACAGCAAAGGGAAATATTAATAAAGTAATAATCCATTATAGCAATTTCAATAGCAAGTCCAGCCACAGAGGGTTTTCCACTACAAACATAAATCCTAAGTCTGGGGCTCCGAGATAGAGAACACATTTCAGTTTTTAAAAATAATAAAATCCACATAACCTCATAATCTAAGCATCCTGAGAGTTGTATTTCTCCACTAACACGGTCAATCTGGAAGCCACTTTCTTTCAGTGACGGTGTTTGAGAAATAAGGAAATAAAGGACTTGAGAATTTGGAGTATTTTCTTCATCCAAATCAATTGTTAACATCTGGAAAACGGGTTGACCTGGAAAGAATTGTTTTAACAGTTACTATTGACCAAAAGCAGCATATCAAACCAATAGAGTGATGATACTTTGCTAAATGACAGGAAGGCATCCACCAGAATGGACTGAATATTTAAATATAAAATCAAACTATAGACACACTATAAAAACTAAAAAGGGATATTTAAATAGTCACAAGAACTTTCTTTTTTTAAAGATTTTATTTACTTGAGAGAGAGAGAGAAAGAGTATATATAGGGGGAGAGGGAGAAGCAGGCTCCCCGCCGAGCAAGGAGCCGGACGCAGGGCTCAATCCCAAGACCCTGAGATCATGACCTGAGCCAAAGGCAGACCCTTAACTGAATAGGCCACCCAGACACCCCTAAATAGTCACAAGAACTTTCTAATCACGATTGCAAATGCAGAAGACATAGAGAATTGATAGATCAGACAGATTTTTAAAGGTGTGCCAAGAAGAACTATATAGACAAAATTTTAAAAGAAATGATACACCAGGAAAACATTTAAAATATATATGGCAGACATAAACATTCTTAATACAGAATGAGAAGGTTAAAATCAAGAAGAAAAATGACAAGCACAGGAACAGAAATGGACCAAGAAAGGAACAAGTATCTGGTACGCAGAAATGGACCAAGAAAGGAACAAGTATCTGGTACGCAGAAATGGACAAGAAACCTGTCAACATACGTAAGCACTTAATAATCAAAGATGAACCCCATGCCAGGCCCCGCAGACGTTGCTGGTAGGTGAGTAAAGCGGAACACTTAAATTGTATGTGCAGTCAGAACCAGCCATTCTGCTCTTCTAAATGATGCCAAGTAAATAATGCTTCAGTGGACACAGATTTAGCTCAATATGTTCACTGAAGCATATTTTGTGAAGATAACAAAAAGTGGGCATGGCACATAAATGTCTAACAATAGGAGATTAGTTAAGAAGCCTTAAAGCACATCCATGAAATAAAATATTACACAATAGGATGCTGAAGGAGAACACTTTTGGGTTACAAACAGTAAATTTGCCGTTTTAGAAAAGAAAATCCATAAATATACACATATGAAAAAGCACATCCGTACATTTGTAAATATTTATTATATACCCATATATATTTTGCACTATGATAAAGATGAAAAATGCATTTGTAATTATATATAAAATCAGGGAATATATATACACATAGATAAATATACAGTGTGTGTACACGCACACACATACAAAATTGGAAGAAAAATACTGAAAGAATATAAACTAAAACATTAATGGTACTTATCTCTAATTGGAAGTATTAAATAAGCTTTCTAGTTCAGTCTTAATGTCTTGGAATTTTCCAAATTTTCTAAAGACTATTTTGTGAAATAAATAATGTTTTTCTGTTATTAAAATAGATGCACATTCTAGTGAAAGTGGTTTGGATTTAAAGACACAGAATCTATAGCTCAGAAACTTTAGATGTCATCTCGTTGCCCTTTTACAGGTGAGAAATTTACAGAGATATTCAGGAAGGCACTGTTCAGCTCTGCCTTTCTCCCTCAGTGCATCTGACCTATTTTAGATTGGTCTTTACATATCAGCTCTTGCAACAGACACAATTTCCACCTCATTTTATTGCCAATACAAAACGATACTTACAGACCTCCAAGCATTCTGCTCAAAACCAGAGCCTGCCACCTTCGGGATGAGAAGAGTAAAATTTCTCCCTAAAGACAATGAGGATCAGGCACCACAACATCGAAGCAGATGGACCAGAGAGGACCAGAGGGGAGAGGAAGCCCCCGCACCCCCGCCGCACGCACCTGCAGGGTGGTTCTCCTTCACACTGATGTTGAATTCCTTCTCAGGGAACTGGGGTGCGTGATCGTTCACATCACTGATCCTAATGTTGAAAATCAAGGAATTATCTATGACCTTTCTTGTTAAGCGATCCACAACATCAAAATAAACCTAGGAAGCAGAGAACTGTGTTAATGTTGCATGTTCATTTACTTGATGTCATGATATATGTTCATGTCATCACACGGTTTGCATCCTCTCCTGCATTAGCCAGAAAGTTTCTGAGGGCAGGGATCTCGTCGCTGTCCTTCACCTCGTGATCCCAGGGACTGAGCACAGTGCTGGCACAGACGAGGCACTCAGTAAACATTTGTTATGATCAGGTTCTAATCTCAGTTTCTCTACCAGGGTAAAACATAGCCAGGTTGCTCAGGAGCCTCAGTTTCTGCTGTTGGTGCTGTCATGAGAAATACAGATGCTAACCAACACTCCTGAGACGCTGCAGAGGGCAGACCCTTGAACGTTTTAGGGAAAGGGAATGCTCAAAGTAACTAGCCCAGCTGTTGCCATGTCGTGGGTTCTTCAGTGGTTAGGGATGTCACTTCTGTGTTTGAAGAAGGAGGGTTCGCTCATCTCAAACATGCAGCGGGAAGTCTTTCCTCTCAAAAGTTCTCAAAGCAATACTTTAGGCTTCTTGCTTTAGTCTCTTAAGAACTTTAAACAAAGGAGCAAATCGGGGCGCCTGGGTGGCTCAGTCGGTTAGACATCGGACTCTTGATTTCAGCTTAGGACACAATCTCAGGGTCATGGGATCCAGCCTTGTGTGGGGCTCTGCTCAGCTGGGAGTCTGCTTGAGATTCTCTCTCTCTGCCCCTCCTTTCTGTCTCTCTGTCTCTGTCTCTCTCTCTAAAATAAATAAATAAATCTTTAAAAAGGGAGCAAATTAGGGGCGCCTGGGTGTCTCAGTCTTGGGCGTCTGCCTTTAGCTCAGGTCATGATCCCGGGGTCCTGGGATTGAGCCCCACATCGGGCTCCCTGCTCAGCAGGGAGTCTGCTTCTCCCTGTCCTGCTCCCCCTGCTTGTGTTCCTGCTCTCTCTCTCTCTGTCAAATAAATAAATAAAATCTGTTTAAAAAGATAAATAAAAGGGAGGAAATTAAACTCAGAAAGAAGGAAATAATAAACACATATATCAATAAAGTTCAAAATAGCAAAACACAGTCAACAAAACCAAAAGCTAGTTTGCCTTCCCATATAAAGTTTGGGATCAGCTTGTTGAGATCTATGAAAAGTTCTGCAAGCCTTTTGATTAGTTTTGAGCAGAATTTATAGGTAAATTTGGGAAGAATTATCCCTTTAATATTCAATCTTTCAGTTCGTAAATACAGTCTGTTTTTTCATCCAATTAGGCTTTCCTTGGTTTCTTTCATTAGTATTTTATAGTTTCGAGTAAAGAGATCCTGCACAGATTTTAGATTTATGCCTAAGCACTTCATTTGTTTTGGTAATACTATAAATGATATTGTTTTTAAAATACTGATTTCCAGTTATTCATCGCTAGTGTATAGAAATACAGTTGATTTTTATATATTAACTTTATTTCCTGGGACCTTGCTAAAATTGATTTTCAAACGTTAAAAATAGGCATTTTTAACCTTGTTCAAAGGATTTGAACAAATATCTCTTTCTCCAAAGATATACAGATGGCAATTAATTCCTCATTCCTTTGGCGGTTTCTTACAAAACTAAACATCCTCTTACCACGCAAACCAGCAATGATGTTCCTTGGTATTTATGCAAAAGAGTTGAAAACTTATGACCACACCAAAACCTGCACACAGTTGTCTAAAGTGGATTTATTCATAATCATCAAACACTGAAGCAACCAAGATGTCCTTCACTAGGTGAACGGATAAACTGTGGTCCATCCAGACAATGGAATATTATTCAGCACTAAAAAGACATGGGGGGAATCTTCAGTGCACATTGCTAAGTGAGAGACACCAATCTGAACTGGCTATGTACACACCGTATGATTCCAACCACATGACATCCTGGAAAAGGCAAAAGTATGGAGACAGCAGAAGGATCGCAGTTGCCGAGGGCTCAGGAAAGAGGGGTGGTTGGATAATGGGGAGCACAGGGGAATTTTAAGACAGTGAAAATACTCTATGTAGTACTACAAGGGTGGATACGTGTCATATACAATTTGTCCAAACCCATAGAATGTGCAGCACTGAAAGTGAGCCCTAATGTGAACGATGGGCTTTGTTAATAATAATGTATCGTATTGGCTCATCCACTGTCATAAACATACTGCACCAATGCGTGATGTTAATGAGAGAGGGAACTGGGGGGGAAGAGGGGGAGCAGACACTCTGTACTTTCCACTCTCCTCTTCTGTCAACCTAAAACAATTCTAAAATAAGTCTATTAATTTTAAAAAGTCCCTACTTATAAAATAAAAAGTGGGCAACCATATATATTATTTATTTTTGTTTTTCTAAATATGGAAGGCTTCACAAATTTGCCTGCCACCCTTGTGCAAGGGGCCATCCTAATCTTCTCTATATTGTTCCAATTTTAGTCTATATGCTGCCAAAGTGAGCACCATATATATATATATATACATACACACACATATGTGTGTGTGTATGTATATGTATATTTAAAAAAAAGAATTATCTATTTCTTTGAGAGAGAGAGAGCCAGAGGTGGGAGAGGCAAAGGGAGAGGGAGAGCGGAGTGCAGAACCTGACATTGGGCTCAATCCCAGGACCCTGAGATCACGACCCGAGCCGAAATCAAGAGTCAGATGCTTAACTGACTGAGCCACCCAATATATATAATATATGTTATATATATTATATATTGTTGGCACCCCAATATATATACTATATTATATATAATATATATATTAAAGTAAGTCTAATGTGACATTGCCACTGAATCTCTGTTGCTCTAGGATAAACAGTGATTTTATTTGTTGAAAGCTGAAGAGATTGTGGGGAGTCAGCGCTGAGACAGAAGGAGTTCAGAGTCCCAGAAAAAGGAATGGGAAGGGGTGACATCGCGTGGAGGAGCTCTCCGCTCTGGAAACGGTGCTTTCTCAAGGGTTGTCTGCTTGCAGGTACAGAGCCCTGCTGGGGGACACTGAGCAAGCATGGGGTTTATTCCAGGAGAAGCAGCTTCAGTGAGGCCCAGGACCGAGCTCCTACATAGATCACCTCCTTCCTGCCTCACAGAAGCCTTAGAGGGAGGCATTCTTGGCGCCCTACTGTGGACCACGGAGAGGTTCCGTGGCTGTCCACTCTCAGTGCAGCCCAGATTCAAGTCCAAGTAGATGTAGACTTGACTACACCATCACTCCCCTCCACAGCTACCCAGAGCCCACAGCAGGCAGCTTCACCAGCCAGGGGTCTTAGCGCCTTGCCAGTTTCAGGCAGAAATCTCTCCTTTCCCCAGAGCCCACAAGAGCTCCGCTGCACCCACCTCCCTGGGCCTCTTTCCTGCAGACTTGTTGGCATCCACTCATCAGCCTCCGCCACGGTGGCCCCACCAGCTGTCCTCCAGTGGTGGCCTGGGCGCCAGGCTCTCCGGGTTCATCTGTCTCCTCTCCCCTCAAGACCACTGCACTGGTCTGCTCCCGGGAGTCCAACATACATTTTTAAATTTCCGTTCAAGCAAATTGGCTTTCTCCCACACCATTTCCACATGCTCTTCTATAATTTATGACTGCGCGGGCATCTCTGCTCCCTAATCCCGCGGACTTCTGGCCCCAACACAGTGCCAACTGTAATCCTTCCACTTAAAAATAAGAACCCCATGTATGTTTTATGTTTATTATTTTATATTCCATTTATTATCCTAAAAGCTACATCAGAGATCATCAGTTCTGTTAGATGCCTGAGAGGCGTAGTGCTGTTTATTCTTTGGCGAGATGCTAAGAATTTCCGGGGACTCAGAATTGCAATGGAGAAAAGAAATGTCATGGATATTTTCTGCACTTGGAAAGGGTTTCCAGCCTTTGTTATAGCCTTAAGATTTAGATCCTTGGGTGACACACCACAGTGCGGTGACATGATGGAGGGGCATATGACCACTGAAATGGCACGGGCAGGATATGTACTCTTAGTCACACAGGAATACCTTAAATGCCAAACACGCAAGACAAAGTCACTTGTATGCATAGGTTTCAAGTAGGCAAAGATGAGTGCATTGGCATAAAGATCCACAAATGATGATTTTGAGGAATATAAAAGAATATAAAAGAATGACTTGGGTGCCTGGGTGGCTCAGTCATTAAGCGTCTGCCTTTGGCTCAGGTCATGGTCCCAGGGTCCTGGGATCGAGCCCTACATTGGGCTCCCTGCTCAGCAGGAAGCCTGCTTCTCCCTCTCCAACTCCCTCTGCTTATGTTCCCCGTCTTGCTGTGTCTCTCTCTGTCAAATAAATAAATAAAATCTTTTAAAAAAAAAGAATGACTTTCCTGAGTGTATTTGTATCCAATGAAATTGAGCATATTTTGATATAAACAGACGAGACTCCTACACAGAAAAAGTCAGACTTTTCCCCTTTCCAGCTGTGTTTTAAATCTTCCGGCAATTCTCAGCTGGTGATACTGCATTCTTTGCAGGCTTACGGAATTAACAAGAAGTAAGCCCTCCCCACCCCACCCCCACCTCCCAAACACAAGTTTTTATATGTTTTGGCTAACTCTCGTGACTCCTTCACTATTCCCCAAGAATACAGCAGTGCTACTGGGAATACCTTTTGGCCAACCCTTGGGCTGACTTCATTTCTAATACATCCTGGCTTTACGGACAGCCAAAACCTGGTAGCAAGCATCCTTCTGCAGAAGCAGGTGGCTGAGCCAGAAGGCCAGGCCTGTGTGGTGTTTCTGTGACTCCTGCTTAGCCCACTTTTCACAGCTGGTAATCCTTCTCATCAGCCTGTTTCTTGTCTTCCTAGCAAGTATGGTAACCCCTGCTTCCTAGTTTCCTCTATCTGCTGCAACAACTAGGTGCCTTACAACAAAATGTGTTCTCTCACGCTTTTGGAAGCTACAACAGGCTTGGTTTCCTCTGGAGACTCTGAGCCTCTCCCCCAGCTGCTGGGGGCTGCCAGCAATCCTGGTGTCCCCCGCCTACAGATGCATCACCCCCGTCTCTGTCTCCAGCCTTCTCCCCTCCGTCCTCTGTGTCCAAATCCTCCCCCCTTTATAAAGATGCCAGTCACCCTAATCCAGTATGACCTCACCTTAATTTGATGACATCTACAAAGACCCTATATCCCAATAAGGTAATATTCACAGGTACCAGGGGTAGGACTTGAACCCATCTTTTTGGAAGGCACAATTTAACCCACAACACCCTGGAAGCAGAGACTACATTCTGCCATGCTCATTCATTCATGGAACATAATTGACTGAAAACCTACAATGTGCAGAGCCCTATTCCTGACTCGGGGGAAATGCGTTCCAGTGGGGAGATTGACCACCCACAGAGAACCAAACACGTTTCAGGCATACAGTTCAGGTGGTGAGAAGTAATAAGGAGACAGTAAACCAGGGTCATGAGACAGAGAGCCACCGGTGGGGGCACGCCTCCAAATCCCCACCCTGTGTCTTCCCTCGTGGAAGTTCACAGTCAAATGAGGGGCCAGCTAGCAAGTGATTGTAGAGTTTGGTGTAAAATGACGGCTGTGATAACAGTTGGGGGGATCAGATCATGGGCTTGAGCTCGCCCAGCAGGTCCAGACACAAGGTTTGGAAATCCTGACGGAGCAGGACCCATGGGGTTGCCACTCATGCTCCCACAGTTTCCCCGCTTGCTCTAACTGTTCCTGGGACCTCTGTGTGACATGCCAAGCTTTTCCACTTGGGCCTCATGTGTCAGAAAACAGTCTCATGGATTTGGCTTAGGCATTATCAGCTTCCAGCAAAAAGTCCCATATTAAACCTCGTGAAAGCCAACCCTTGAAATGTCAGTGAAGTTGTTAAAAGCAAACAACAGCAGGGGCGCCTGGGTGACTCAGTTGGTTAAGTGTCTGCCTTCGGCTCAGGTCACGATCTCAGGGTCCTGGGATCGAGCCCCGCATCGGGCTCCCTGCTCGGTGGGGAGCCTGCTTCTCTCTCTCTCCCTCTACTACGCCCCCCTGCTTGTACTCTCTCACGTTCTCTGTTGACTAAATAAATAAAATCAAAAAAAAAAAAAGCAAACAACAGCAACCGAACAACAACAACAAAACAAAGACCACAAGCACGAAATGTTTTGCTCTGTCCTTGCACAAGTCACGCCCACTACTATCTGTCCTGGACCCTCCGGACCCTCTGCACTCAGCACGTGGCAGCTGAGGGCCAGCACAGCACCCTCTCCTGGGAGCTGGCTGGAGATGCAGAGTCTCGGGCTCCACCCTGACTTACGGAAACAAATCTGTATTTTTACAAGATCCCTTGGTGATCTGTTTGCTCACTCAAGATTTAGCAGGGCTGCCCAGGATCCCCCTCAGATCACTCTATGTTCCTTCTGTCTAATAGACATTGCACATTTACTAGATGAGGCAAGGGTTTATGTGAATATAGTGAAGACCTGCAGAGTCATCTCTGCATGACTTCTGGAGTTTAGGGAGAATTTCTCCCTGCTTAAAAACTAGAGATTCAGAGCCTATCAATGAGTTAAGGACATCCATTTTATTATGTATATAAATATTTTGAAGTCATTAGAGAAAAGGTATATAAATTACTTCTTTGAGGTGTTCTTTCCCACCCTGAAGAAGTTAATGTACCACCAAGCAGGCCCGAGAACCAGCTCAGTTCCCAGCAGAAGTCAAAACAACAAAGGCTATATAGCATCCTGAGCATCCCCTATAAGGTGAGGCTGGTAGCCTAATACACCACCATGGCTTAGGCATTTTACTTTATCGCTTCCTTTCCTGGTTTTGAACCTGGATTTCAAATTCAGAGTAGACCTTGGTGTTGGGGTTTAGGAGATCCTAAAGAACACGGGGAGTCACAAGAACAAACTGACACCGGGTACGTAATTGCTTGTTCATCAGGTGTTAGGCAACTGAAGGGTCTGCTTATAGCTTCTGTCCACACATTTCAACTGTGACTCAAAACCAAATTAGGCCATTTTATAAACATTCTATAGCCCTACCCCCAAATGCTTTCAGATATCCTGATGGTGCTGGGAATCCGGTCATTAGAAGGAAGATCTGTAGTGGCTCACATACATCCTCACAGAGTCCAGAACTTTAAAAGAACGTTACAAAATTAGCCTCCCTGCCCATGCATGCTTTTAAAGCTTGCCACAGTGTATAATGTGCAGTCTCCCATGACATGGCATGTGGGCAGCTTAACTAATGCTTGCTGAATACAATAGTCCCGCAACAGCTTTACAATAAATCCAAGCTGAGAATATATCAAATGTTAGGTACCATAAAAGACGGGGTTGTCTCTCGATCGACAGGGCGGTGAACATACACTCGTCCGTTCCTGTGATCTTCTACAGAAAACAAACCAATCTCCGGATATTCATCCACACCAGGTCCACTGATTAAATATATTAATGACATGTTATGAGACATATCGTTGAACAGCTGCAAGGGAAAAAACAATGCGGGGGGGAGAGAATGAGAATAAACCACAAGGCACGCCAAATATCAAGGCTGGGATTCAAAGGCATTTTTAAAGCACCACACCTCACAATCGCTCATCTGAGGGTTTATCCAAAAGAAACAGAGAGACATGCAAAGAGGTGGGAATGAGGTTTGTCACAGTGAACAAGTGGGAAGAAGGCACATGTCCTTCCCAAGGGAAAGAATCCTAGCGCAGTACCCCCTTCATGGGGCAAGGGCCCCCAGTCTTTAGGACTTACACGCTCTGCCCCAGAAAGGGGGCCGTGCCTCACTGGTAAACCAGAAAGGCAACTTGCAGAACGATATGTGTAATGTGATCCCATTTTGTCAATATGGACTCACCTTGGTGAGACTATAGAGAAATATCTGAAAGAGTACATACCGATGTGTTAATATGGATGATCCCTTCAGGGAGAGAGGAGGAACACTCGTGAGGCTAACATTTAGAAAGGGCTTAGAGGGAGACAGCTGACGACATGCCTTACTTGTCTTAGCCTATTTAATCTTTAAAACGACCCTATAATGTAGGGACTGTCGTTGACAGCACCGCATGGTGGGGAAACAGCAAGGATATGGGACTCCCGCAGCAAGGGTACGTTGCGTCTGCGGTATGAGCCCATCGTGTCCCCCAGGCTCTTAGGAGTAGATCGTTTCAACCACTGAGCCTTGAAAACTTTCTGTATTTTTTTTTATAGTAGGCATCTACTATTTTTATAAACACTGCAAAAATATAAATTAATTTTTTTGTCCAGAAATCGTTGGATGTCAATGCTGCAGGGATCTAGTCACTCAGCATGTAATTCACAGGTCCATCGGGTCAGGAGTGTCATGGAAAGAATGACAAGGGCCACGTGCAAAAATTCCAGCGTCCCAATATGGTCACGTGACAGCTTCGACCTCAGAGGGAGGGAGACGACAAGGAGTCGGGGTACTGTGGGAAACTCAAGCCCCATCCAGTTGTTGCCATGTGGGAACGTAGGCTCCCTGTGGGCAGATCTTCCAACTTTCAGAAAGCCGCTAGAAGTACAGAATTTCTACTACAATCTTCCTGTCGTTTCCATCTCCTTATGGTAAAATACACACAACATAAAGTTTACTACCTTCATCATTTTTAAGAGTGCGTTCAGGTGGGACTAAGCACATGCACACTGTTGTGTGGCCGCCACCACCATCTGTGACCAGAGCTCTTGTCATCTTACCAAACTGACGCTCTGTTCCCCCTCACACAATAAGCCCTCATGACCTCCTCCCTGGCAGCCCTGGCAGCCCAGCTTTGCTTTCTATTTATTTATTTTTTTAATCTCCCTTTTGCCCCCACCTCCCAGTCTCTGGTAACCACCATCTCCTTATTGTTAAATAATACATTTGCATGGGCCAAATAAAGCAGGCCTTGTCCCAGGGGACTGATGTTCTCGGCACACGCTCACATGAAGTGACTTGCCCGAAGCCCCCCAGTCAGGTAGAGGTAGAGTGGGTTCTAGAACACAGGACAGCATTCCTCCTTCCACTGCACGCCCTGGCCTTCCGAGCACGTAGCCCTTCAAGACTCGGTCCTCCTGCCATACGGGGCGTGCCTAGTCAGAGAGGGTGGCGGGGGCCTTCCTCACCTCCCCAACAAGTTTGGGAAAGGGTCCTTGATCTTCCTCCTCCAGTTCCAGGGTGGTAATAACCCATCTTCTTTTGGATCGCCGTAGGGGCCGGTGGCTCTCTCCCTGAAATTATAGCGACAACCATGAGGATGATGGTGACATCGATGTAGCAGGCATGGATGGGCACTTGATTGGCATTATATCCCCTGTCCTCACGACAGCCTCCAATGCTTAGATATTAAAAGTGCCTGTTCTCCTGACAACTGTAGAGGTGTTTCTAGACTTTGGGACATGGGCCACCTACTGATTTTACACGGATCCTGAGATCTTTAGGGGCTATGCAGACATAACATTAAAGATCATTGCCTACTGTGTGCCAACACCTGTGCTATGGCAGACACGCACACAGTTGCTGAGTGAATGAGAAGGTTACTCCCTCCGGTTTCCCTCTGTCTTTCTGAAATAGTCAATGAGAACGTCTCCATTCAGTGCTGATAGGTCTTTAATGCCTCTTCATCTACTACATTCACTTTTAACAGGAAGAGACTCAGACCCAGACATTAGGCTCAGATATCTGTCAGGCGAGAGACCAGAGATAGAGAGTTTAACCATCTATTTATTACAAGCAAAGCTGCTTTCCAGCCACGGTAATTTTTATCCACAAACATGTAAGCCTTTTCAAAAATTATAGTTGACTCTTGAACTATGCGAGGTTGGGGCACTGTCCCCTGGGGTAGCCAAAAATCCCTGTATAACCTTTGACTTCTCCAAAACTTAACTGCTAACAGCCTGTTTTTCACTGGAAGCCTTAGTGATAACATGAACAGTCGGTTAACACATACTTTGTATGTTATGTGTATTATACACCATATTCTTAGTGTAAAGTCAGCTAGAGAAAGGACAATGTCATTAAGAAAATCATAAGAGGGGGGCGGAGCAAGATGGCGGAGGAGCAGGAGACCTGGATTTCGTCTGGTCTCAGGAATTCAGCTGAATAGGGATCAAACCATTCTGAACACCCACGAACTCAACAGGAGACCGAAGAAAAGAATAGCAACAACTCTCTGAACAGAGAAGCGACCACTTTCTGGAAGGTAGGACGTGCGGAGAAGCGAATCCAAGGCGATATTCAGGAGGATACACGGCGGGGGAGGGGCCTCCGTCGGCCGCTTCTGGCAAGTGCTAGAGCCGCGGAGCACAAAATCGGAACTTGTAGAAGTCGGCTCCGCGGAGGGACATCGCTCCAGTGGCTAAGAAGGGGGTGGAACCCTCGCGGGACAGTGTGGTCTCAGGACCCTCGGGGTCACAGAAAGACCAGGGGTGCCTGAGTGCGGCAGAGTTCCCAGGTATCGGAGCGGGGAAGCCGGCTGTAGAGACGGAGCCGAGGCGCGGGCTCTCAGCTCGGGGTGGCCATAAACTGTGATCGGTGACAGTCGGGCCACTGCTCCTCCAGCAGGGACCCAACAAGTGACAGATCCCAGGGGAGACTCCCCTTCCTCCCCGGAGGAGCGGCGCGGGAGCGCACCGCAGGGATCTGCTGGGTTTGGAGACTCCACACGGGGTCGGGTGCCAGAGATAGAAACGCTCGGTCACAGGCCGGGTGAGCACGGAGTGCGGCCGGAGACCGGGGACACGGGAGTGACTGCTTTTCTCTGGGGGCGCACTGAGGAGCGGGGCCCCGAGTTCTCGGCTCCTCCGGGTGGAGATTGGGAGGCCACCATTTTCACTCTCGTCCTCCAAAGCTATACCGAGAGCATGCAGGGAACAAAAGCTCCCGAGAGCAAACCCGAGCAGCTTGCTTAGCCCGACCGACAAGGGCGGGGCAATTCCGCCTCCAGCAAAGACATTTGGGAACCACGGCAACAGGCCCCTCCCCCAGAAGATCAGCCCGAAAAGCCAGCCAAGACCAAGTTTACCGATCAAGGAGAACGGGAGAACTCCAGCGCTAGGGGAATACTG